TGCAGTTTCATATTGGTTTCCCAGGTTGTTTTGAGGTGACATGAACGAGAGAATTACTTGCCAGTTTATACTTAGTCAAAAATGATCGGTCAAGTCAATGTTGCTTACACAATATACATCAGCAACTGAAGTTTTGATATGGGTGTATGTGTGCTGCATGGGTTCAACTTGTAATAAAATATATTCTTCTCATTGTTCAGCGAGGGCAGATTTTGCAAGTCAAGTTCGCAGTGAAACGAAGCAACAGCGTCCGGCGATATTGGATAAGTGAAAAAAGAAACTTCGCACTTCTTAATTGACCAGCGCCCTCACTAAGGCGAGAAGCGACGGGTCATACTTCTGCTTGTAAAGACAAGTCTTTTCCGAAGACGCTATCATTTATGATCTCATACAAGCTTACCCTGGGCGAGAGAAGAGATCGAACCATAGACACCGAGCGATGTGCTTGAAAAACACAATGCCAAAACCATTAACGGAAAAATGTGAAGCATCTTGCTATTGAGCTGCCTGGGGTATATTTCTTGATATTGTCTTCAAGATTTTTGTTACACAGTCGTTAAACGTTTGACGTTGAAAAGGGTCATAAGCCACAAAAGGAGGGAGGAGGCTGCGCTCTGTCGTGAAATGAACTTACCTGCGACGAGGAGTATTTGATCTGAGATTACTGAGTTAGTAAGCGAACTGTATTTCTTATTCTGACTAATCATTCTTTTGTTTTAATTCTATCTCCTTCAATCCGAAACAAAAATCTCTCTGTGCTTAATATTTATTAACTGCGATCTCTGTTTTCAGCTCACGAGATCGTTACGGTGAAGCCCGATAAGTTATCGCCGGGCTTTGAATGAATTTGCTTCGTTTTATTCAGAGCTTATCTCTCAGGAAGAAGAGAGGACTTTTTTCGCATTTCGTCGAAGCTACTGTTAAAAGTTTTTATTATTATTGTTATGAAAAAATGAAAGTTTCAATGCGTTTGGCAGGTTCTACCTGCTGAAAGGCGCAGCCATAAAATAACTCTTGATATTGCCGGACTGGCTGATTTATCAAAGTTGGCAGAAGAAAAGAGAATAGTCGGTTAGCCCGCAGTCCATCAAATTAACCACTTGGTTAATTAGGACATGAAAATAGAAAGACCAAAATGTGCTTGTATTCATTACAAGTATAACGATCAAAATCAAATTCTTGGTATAATTGCGTGTGTTTGCCCTTAATTCAGCTGATGAAGTCTGCATGGTAGTTTCGCGGAGAAGATGCTTAGCTAGTTATTCATGCGACTTCTTTTACGAATCACACAACAGACTCTGATGGACACGAAGTTGATTTTAATTGGTTAACTTTTAGAATGTGAAGAAACTAGTATAGAAAATTTATTAAATTTGACAAACCTCCCCTTCCTTACCTGCTAGCGACAACAATCCTCAATTAGTATTTACTCGCTCATTTCGCAAGCATGGAACAAAGCAAGGGAAAATGCATGGCTACCGCAGAAGTGAAAATGCGACAGAATATTCTTTTTCTCTCCTCCCGTTCACACTACGCCGGAGAAATTTGACTGAAACGCAGCCGTTCATTTCTACGGTTAGTCCTACCATCCACACTAATCCGTCACGAAAACGGAGCTTTTCGAAAAAGCTTTTCAAACCGGAGGAATTTTAAAACACCGGCTTTGCGTTTTAGTATGGACGAAAAACATTTTGAAAACAGAGCTTTTCGAAAACGATGACATCGCGATAATCACGTGATTTCCCTGCTCGAGTGTTTCCCGAACACAAATCCAAAATAACCAATGATTGTTGCGTTTTCAAACTTCTCCGGTGTAGTGTGGATGGAAAACATTTGATGCGTTTTCAGAGTGAAAACGCCTTTTTCAAATTTCTCCGGCGTGGTGTTGACGGGGCCTGGCATTACTGTAAATGAAGGCTAAAATCATGAAGCATATTTTCGTTCTTGGATGGACTAAACCATTAAGCGTTGGGGTCTGATTCTAATTAACTTAAAAACAAATGCGTTTAAACGTTCGTATACCTCACTTTAATTGTTGGCCAAATTAAAACTGTGCATTTTTCTCATTAACCTTTGTTCCTTTGTTCATGGCCGCCCTCACACTCGCACATCACTGACCGAACAAGGCCGAACCTTAATATTTCCCAACATCGGCGAAGACCGAAGATATCCGGCCGAAAGAACCACATTTTATTACAACACAATGATATTTAGGACGGATTTCAATTTGGCACGACCCCTTTAGGAGCATCAGATTTCGCCCAAATTAAAAAGAAGCTCCTTAATTTCAACGAAAAAAATATCTCTTTGTTGTGTGACTGTGGTTTAAGCACCCCATGGTGCGCGGTTTTTATTAAGGTTAAATTGCTAATACCCTGAAAAAAGCAAGTGTCATATTAAGAAAAAAAGAGTCACAAGCAACGATGTTGTTGAATAAAGAATCATTTTTGACGGCTCAGATCGTCTTCCTTAATTATGGCGCTCTCTAGCATCATATCACTGAAAAACAGAAAATAAAATGAAACTGGCGCTTAGTCTAAAACTCACCGTCAAAAAATAGTATTAAATAAAATAATTAAATAAATGCAAGAAAATCCAGTTTAATTCATGATGAGTGCTTTGTGATGTTTTTGAACAGGTCAGGGTTAGATAAAGATCCCCTAACCTTTACGAAAGAACGAACAATCACCTCACTGGAGTAACAAAAAGAACATCAGCTTTCTACCTGTGACACTGATGACAAATTAAGAAGAGATAGTATTGTAATGATTTGGGGGAATGAGGCTAAAAAGAATCAGGAATTGTTCAATGCCTCTTCCAACAGGTGTACCTGTTCAAATCTCAAACATGACGATGAAATTATTCTTACTGGTTGGATATTTTTTTTATCGCGAAGGCAAAGTATAGATTCGATCGTCTGTAAGGACAACAGAATAACAGTGGGTAAAAATGAAAGCCGATGCACTCGGCTTATGAAGTGACTTAATTTAGCAAATCCGAATCGTGTTTTAATCGGGTTTTGCGCATGCGGTTGCATTGATTTTGAACACTCTTACCGCGTGGTTATGTACACTTGTCTCTGATGTCAAGTGAATAATTTACCGACGGTACGGCCGTTTAACTAAAGCCCTGTGCTAATATTCACCACAACTTAGAGGGAAAGGGTAAAGAAATCTCATTCGTTGTTCTGCTATATATATGGGCAAGTTGTAAGTAGTCAGCGAGTCAATGTTTTAGTCAGAAATTAAAAAGAAATCATCAGTTGGTTATCGATCCTTGGTGGACAATTGTCGTACGTCACGAAACTACAAGCTAATGCGAACAACGACACGCGACATGATTCCAAATCAAACTTATCATGAACTTATCAAAGACCTCGGTCAATAACATAGTTATTTTTATTTTTACCCCACGGTCTTCTTTTAGATGCCTTTCTCATAGAACAAGAAGAGAAAAATCGGAAATTAATATACGGTTATAACTGGCAACAAAAGGAGACTTACCATGAAATAAATTTCGTATCTAGCATACCTTTTTATTCAAATATTTCTTTTAAGTTTTGCTAATTAAATTTCCAAATTAGATCATTCCAGTGTCATCTCGCTTCAGTAACCCCTTAATATAACAAGCTATTATTGAACCTTCATATTTACCTTTGTCGTTTTAAATACACTTGATGACCAGATGGCGCCATTGTTTCTGTGGTTTTGTTAACATCTCGTAAGACTCCGCGAGGATTTCCGAAGCTAAAACGACATCGCTTATAGTCATGTTTCCTTCCGTAACTGTTCTGTTTCAACGCGATTGGGTCGAGAATTTCCTATTTTCAGTTTAGCAAGACGTGAGTTGCTCTGCACTTTTTTCTATTCCCACTGTTAGGCTTAAGTTTGAAAGTGCATGCATGAAAAAATGTGGTTGAGCAGATTTATCATGGGCCGAAAGAGTATCGCTGTCCCTGGTCAAACGAATGCCATGTCTAAGCTGTTTAGTCTTTAATCACTTAGGAACGTACGAACTTATCATTTGTCTTTTGTTGTGGCAAAGTTATGCACGCGAAACTATTGAAATAAAGTAACATTCCCGGAAATATGGTAGTTTTGGTTATGTATTTGTTTTGTCAGGAAAAGAGCCGTCAAGGCTGGTAGAATGGAACCGTAAAATTTGACAAAATCCCAAATACGAGAGATTTGTGCATAAGCACAGGTTTATATACAGATGGAACTCATTAAGACTCCTCGTGTTTACAATCTGTTAAATTCTGGATCAGTTACGCATAAATGTATCTTTTACGATGGAGACTGTTGTTGTTTTTCCTTCGATTCAACTAGGAAGATTTAGAATAAGCTTATTTTTATTTAGATTATTCCAAGCCGTGACCATAGGATTTCAGTATGTAATTCGTAAATGCCTAAACTAAAACTTCATCTACTGAAACAGTGTTAAGTTGAAAATTCCAATAGCGAAATTCTCTAACTACTTAATCGTTTTGTTGCTGTCCGCACAGACCGCCCTAATATATGAAACAATCTTACGCGACACGAGCCAACGTTAGAAAAGATTGCCATCTGTTTCTACAAAGAATCGAAATTGCTCCTCCAGAAAGAAAGAAAGCGTGGGCCGTTTTAATCAAACTTTTGGTCATTTAAATAAAGCCTTGTTCCTTGAGCTATAATGAGGCAACACGGATTTTCGCGTCGAGAAATGGTAGACATATTTGAATGTCTCTGGATATGTCTTAAGGGCTTTTGCGTTGATTTTAATTCGTTCTTCTAGAGCGAGAAGCCACGAAAAAAAACATCTTACTTTCGTTTGGCACAGCTCCAGGGCATATATACTGAATAACCATTTTGCTCCAATACAGCTTTTTTTGTTTCGTCTATAATACCTGCCATTTTTGTCAGCTGGTAACTTCCTAAACGAATGAAATTAAATCAGCCCTATTCAGGTTGGAATTCGATTCAAAAACTCTCGCGAAGTCCTTCTTCCTTGTATTTCTTGCTAAACTAACTAAATCATCCCAGTGGACCCGTTGAGCTTTTTAAAGTATTAGTGTAACTTTCTTAAGCCTCTATCAGGTTTATGAGATTTAAATCTTAGTTTAATTGCCCTTTTAAAGCAAGTGCCCTATTATCAAATATGCGTCAAAAGCGACGACGAAAATGGGTTTCAAATTGAGCATACGTGCAGTAATGTGTGCTTCTTGACAAATTTTTTTTCAGTGACTAGAATGATGTTACTTTTTTCGCATACGATGTAAAAGAAAACCGAGATGTTGGCTTGGGCGTAAATAATCTAAATAGATTTGTTTAACTAATTGAGTCACACCCTCAATATAATTTCATAAACATTCCAAAGCACATGCAAAATTGAGCCATGTGGCTTTTCAAGTCAGATTTGCCATATGTTAAAAACATTCCTTTCTTGACAACGAAGACGAAGATCTTGTAAAACTACGGAGTCGCACGCGCTTTTTCATTCGTCTTTTATTTAAACATTTCAGTTTGTTTACAATATAGGTTATCTGCTATCTTGCTGCCATATTTGCTCTGACGATAAAACGCTTTCAGCTCTTCTCTTTGTTTTTTGTTGCAAGTTCTTAATGGTCTATCATGTAACTGATTTCAGACTCTTAACAGTCGTAAATCTGGCATCTGACTACCGTGACAGGTTTTCTTCTGAGCTATCGCGCTCACGTTAGCTTCCCAGTCAAGTGATCGACCAAGTCCTTGTTTACAATAGAAACCGCAAAATTATACAGTATCCTTTTCTTTGCTTTGCCTTGACATTGCTTCCCCTTAGTAGAAAATAAAATGTTTCTACAACTTCAAGGTTAAGGATTAAAACTATTGAACCTTTGTCAACTCACATTTTATGATATATTGATAACCACCCATTCGTTCATCTGATTCTCCCATCCATCTATGTCTTCCCCACTTTAGAACAGGTCAATTCAGGCTTTCCATGCGCGTGTGCATTGTTCGACTCGGTATGCGCCAAAAGTGAAAAAACGCCGTGCAAGTAGTCACGGAGCTTCTCCATTCTCTTCTATCTCAGTATGAAATTATTGTCGAGATTTAAGTGAGAACTGACGGAAAAATTTCTTCTCAATTTCCTCCATTGTCTCGCGGAAAACGTCGATATACCTTTGTTCTCATCGCTCGGGGGTAGTATCGCACCTGTTTTGCAGCGCACGTGCCTTTACCAAACGAACAAGTGGCAAAGGCGAGAGTGACTGGTGGCGTTGCTATGTGCACGACGCTAGCAGTGGCCAAAATCAAACAAAAGCATGTTCTCAGAAGTAATTAGCTCATGCGATTGAACGAAGTGTCGATCTTGTTTGAAATGTTTTGATAAATCGTTCGCACCAACTTGAAGTTCGCCCGCGCAAAATAAACATGTCAGTCGTGTGATAAATCGCGTGTTCTGAGAGAGCGACGAGTTGTTTAGAGGGCAGGATAGATGGGATATTTCACGGCTCTATTTCAGAACCGGGGACAAAAGGCAGTTTCCCTATTGTATGAATAATTGACACGGCATGGTTCAGTGACAAATAACATACTTCCAAATATTTCCAAATTAAAATTTCATAACGCGCAGCACAAAAGAACATCGCTTCAGTTTACAGTGCGCTTTCTAAATCGGTTTTCAAAGGTGACAACGAAACCCTAATCACCACAACGCATTATTTTTACGGCGAAGGAATGTGTTGCTATCAGATAGTGTAAAGTGGAAAGAAACCTTGGTCTTTTGTCTTACTTTATTCATGGCGGTCTCCTTGGTCAGAATACTCATCGATAGCATTGTTCTCGCTCAGTTGTGCTCATGCGAAAGTTATTTAGCGTTCTGCGCTGCGATTGGTCGGTTACCGGCGCCACTAGCAGCGAACAAGCCTGCCAAGTTTTAAACAAACTATTCTATCATGCATGCGCAATGCGATACCCCAGTTAAGATTGGCCGACAGCGGCCCATTGTCAAACAGGATTAGTCGTTTAGCCCTTTTCCTACTCGCGCAACCTGCAAAGCATTGAATTCTTGATGGGGCCGGGGCAGGTCTTTAATAAATTAATACCCGGCCAGTAGTATTGCAAAGAGGTTGTTGTTTTAAATAACAGATTGTTTTATTCTTTTGTCGTGATATGATCAAGGGGCATTCAGTCTCCATGTATGAAAGTTTGCGCCAGGCTAGCAAGTGGGAAATTGTTTACGACCGCTGTATATCCTAGCTACACCTGTCCAGGCCACTCTCGAGGCCTATAATAACTCAACCAGCGCAAGATTCTTCAGTTCATTTTAAACCAAAGTTAGCGCACGATCGCCGGAGCCTTAATCATACACCAAGAGTATCCCAGAGTTCGGACTGACATCTATCTACAGAGATCCACATATCAAGCCTACAGCCACAAAAATCAAGAATGCCTCGCTCATTTTTAATCAAAAAGAAGGAATTCAAGAAAAACAATATCACTTACTTTGGTAAGTTAAATTTAAGTCCTTTTCATACGCTTGAGTTGTGACCGTTCATTTTACAAATTTCTGCCTTTTTTAAAGTAAGTTCGTAGTGCTTCTAGTAGCAAGAGAACGAAGTTCTTAAAATAAATCAAGAAAGAGAGTCTATTTCTCATGAATAGAACAAAAATAATCATTTTTTAATTGCCTTTTTCACTGCATGGCGACTAAGGACAAACTACTTCTCAGTTTTTAAGCGAGACTTAGCTAGTTTATTTGAAAGTGCCTCGGTCTGTTTAACCCCTCCACTGTAGTTTCCACAGCATATTATTCTGTTGGATCGAATATCTGTCGAATGACTGTATTGAAGATTTTATTTCTTGGATTAAGTTTTCCTCTTTGTGGAGAATCTTAAACATGAGTCGACCTTGCTACCCGTAAAATACCTGGAAGGTCTTTTAAAAGGCATCAAAGAAAAATCACCACTGAGCTACTTAAGCCTCCAATGTCACTCCTAATGGGTACGTAAATTAGATTAGACATATTAGGATGTCCTGAAAAAATTCGTGTGGGATATAAGTAAAATGTGATAGTGTAGACGAGAAAAAGCACGTCCACGGTTTGTCCTCTTTGGCGATTACAGAATAGCTTCTTGCCGGTGCTGAATTATTTATTCTTGGAGTACAAACATCGAAGCAATTTTCATCCCTTCTCTGTCAGAGGCTTCCTGAAAAAATCAGGACATTTATACACCAAAAGGGTTTAGAAATTCTTTTTCTATCTATTTAGAGCTTTTTAACAGCAATTCTAATGTCCTGGAGGCAGCATTTCAATACATAACATCTTAGAACTAGTGAGCTTTTGTTCTCGATTGAACATGGAAATCCAGTTATTTTGGCGTTTGATTCTACCCAGAAGATTTGAAATGGAATTATTATGCTTTTCTATCTTGCTTGCGGTTTGTTAAAGAGCCTTCGGATTAAGAGAACTGTTAAAATGCATCAAGAAAGGGCTTCGTGGTGTTTGATGACTTTTATAAAATGGTATTTTTAGCCATTAAACATTCATAGTAAAACCCAAATAAAATTGCTCGTCTTTTTTCACTTGTCGCCGCTTACATCTCATCGTTCCTTCTAAGATAGACAAAAAAGCCCGACTCCTTCTTCATAATCCGGTAGATTTTTATAAATTTCAGGATTTACAGTTTTGGTTAAGCGTAGTTTCGTAGTTAAACAGGCATTCAGCAGTGTAATAAAGTCACTGTAAAGACTGAATAACCAAGAATCAATTTAATTACCACCTTTAAAACTTTTCAAAGAGAATCGTTAACGAACCAGTGTTTACAGTACAGTTATTGGGAATTGGTTTGCCGAATTAATACCGCTAAATCTACCAGTCGGCATGAAAATCTTGGCTACTTTGTCAGCTACAAACAGGCGTATTCTCGTTAAGCTCTCTCGATACACTTTGCGTATGATAAACGATTAGGGTGTAAGCCATTGCGGTTTTCTACCAGGGAGGAGCAAGCCCGAGCTCGAAATGTTAATTGTAACTGCTTATTACTTAAGTAAACTTAGAGTTGCTAAGTTGTTACATTCTTACACTTACAGACAACACCGAGGATACCCCACCAACTGTAGCATCTTCACAAGCTGAACTGTATCGTCTCACAGCGCCTTATGCCCAACCCCTAGTTATGCCAAACAACGAACCGCATGTCATCAACACAAGCAAGGAATATAACGGACAGAACGGCTTTCATGGTGATAGTGAAAAAAGAATGAACGCGTGGAATAGGGAGGAGCGTCCTGATAGCGAACGCTTGGCGGATTTTGCGGCCATTAAAGAAGAAAAGGAAACGGATTCCACGGGAAACGAAAAACCTTACACGTGCCAGCACTGCAGTAAAGTGTTCACCCGCTCGTGGAATTTCCAACGCCATGTTCTCATCCACACGGGCCAGAAGCCATACAAGTGCCAGAAATGCCCGAAGGCTTTCGCCCTAGCGGCGCACCTGAAGATCCACAACCGAATTCACACCGGCGAAAAGCCGTACACCTGTAATATCTGCTGCCGTGGATTCGCTCAGCTGACCAATTTACAGAGACACATCCTGACACACACGGGCGAGAAACCACACAAGTGCCAGTACTGTCCCAAGGCGTTCGTAAGCTCGAGCGATCTGCGAAGACACGTCCGTATCCACACAGGCGAGCGCCCATACAAGTGCAAACAGTGCTCCAAAGCCTTCACTACCTCTGGCAACCTCCAATCGCACATTCTGACCCACACTGGGGAAAAACCGTACAAGTGTAACATCTGCAACTGGAAATTCATCAGCTCGAGTAATCTACGCACGCATATTCGAATTCATCACGCCTACTATCTGGAGAAATCAAATTCGAATCACCATCGCCCCGAGCAGCAAAACGCCCGCATGCCCCCTGACACGGCCACAGAGCAAATGAGAGAGAACATGCCGTTCAAAAATCTTCTTGAATCACAAAGGGAACAAGTCTTTTACTGACTTTAACCGCCTGGACTTTGAAGATGTTTTCCGTAATTTTGAGTTTACGGGCACGCACGAAAACGCAAGTATTAAGTAGCGCGTGTTTTGTAAGAGTGCCAAATGATTACTAGAGAAGTATTGGGCTATGAATTAGTCAATTCGAGTTAAATGAAACGCTTTGAGAAAAAGAACCTTATTAAGGAGAGCTAATATAAATAACAGTGTATTTATGTAAAACAATATGTTAAAAAAGTAACTTTTGATATTCAAAAATGTACAAGAAGTTATGTAAGCGAGAATATATTTGAAGGACAAAGAGCTAGAAAGATCCAAGTGTGGTTATATTTTGTGAAATAGAGTATATTGTTATTTTCAGAGCCTTTTACCAAAGAGAAGTAATTAAAAGTCAGAAATTTTCACTACATAATGGTGTGCAGACGAGAAAAACGTCACGTCTATTAAGTGTTTAACTCACAGGTGGCTGCATGTTTTAGCTGCGAACCACCGCAACCATTGTTATAGAACCTTCTGCATAGATATGGAGTGGCGCCCAATGCTGGCTCATTAAAAAGTCTGTTACGCTTGAGTCAGCCCGAAATGACTAGTCAGCTTAGAACAAGGGTGTTGAAAATTGGGAGCAAAGTTGTTTTAAGAAACTTGCACCCACATCGTGCCGCTTGGCCGTTAGAAAGAATACGGAAACCCAATTGCTTTAAAAGCACAAAATGAGATTAGCATACGAATGTCCTAAGGAAATCTCACTCAAATTGTAGTAATTGTCCATGATGACATTTTTTCGTTGCTGTTCTTGGTGGCAAGGTAGATAGGCGAGAGGATACCGTATGTTATTTTCTCATTTGCTGATTGCCAAATGGTCATTGTCATTCATTCGGCATGTACATGTAGTTTTGCAATTTCACTTTTGGCTCGAATTCAGTCAGATTCCGAGATTGATCCGGAAAATTCGAAGTGGTGAGATCTCCGATGAATAAAACCGACCTGGTTGACTCTGAAATCAGCTTAAGCTACACATGGCCGAGAGGGCTCTCTCTAGCTAATTCACTCACGCTTTTTTTCAGCTTAACATCCCAAGAGATGGTATTAAGACATAAACACAAAGGCCGGCTGCGTAGGAGGACCACCTGGTTCTAGAACGCATGATCAAGTCACGTGGAAAATATCCGGTGACCTGCGTTAGAAAAGGCAACTATTAATTCTGAAGAGTGAAAACACAAACAAGAATCGTTGCACCAAAACACAAAAAGTGGGATGGCCTAATGATAAAGTCATTTAGAAAATAAACGGCGCGAGTTGAATTCGAACAAAAATTGTTATTTATTCAGCATTCATAACAAGTATTGAGGGAGATTTGCCGAATATCATTTCGCGTAGATCACTCGCCGAATTTGAAAAGATTTTTCCACATTTGCATAAGAATAAATGACCGTGAGTAAATTTTGCAAATCTTTAAAGTGCTACTGGCGTAGAAACGGCCGAACAATGAATTCTATTGACAAGCTCTAAAGTTCCTTACTGGTTCAACAAGAGTTCACAAGGTGCAACGGCGAAAAGTCATCGGTGGAGACTTAAATATCACCAGATACAGGTGCTGTGCCTTAAGATCAATACTGTAGCGCGATACGACTACCAATGACATCAAATGTGTCATAACACAACATTTATCTATTATCTCAAGAACAAAACGGCAAGTTATAAACGGCCATTTTTGGCAACTGTTGGCCCCAATATGTTTGAGCTGTTATCTATTTAAGTTTGAACATTGTACACACGTTTCTGATTGAAAGCTTACTACGAAAAGGATAACAAAAAAACCGTGCACAAAAAGGTGTAACGAAAGAATTAAGGCACGGACTAATATGTGCCTGAAAATGACGAAGGTAATGGGGAAAAAAAAGCTGGAAAAGGTAGAGTGACTTTCCGTATCCATGCACATGACTTGTATAAAATGAATGCATGACGCTGTTATTCTCCTATCTATTTCACTCTGGTTTTGGCAACTGCTCAACAAAAATATGCAGTTGTTATCGCTATTAATTTGCTGCGTAGTTCAGTTGAAGAAAAAGAAATAGCGAAGGTAGGACAAAACATACATTGATGCACAAACTACAGTCAAAATGTGCTGCTTTGGAAACTCATATCGTTTTCAATTTCTTTTTGGCGAACGCTCAAAAATAATGTAGAGTTGATATTGATGTTTGTTTGCTGCAAAGTATAGTTTGAAAAAGAAATGACGAAGATGGGAACTAAAACAAACAAGAATGCGCAAAACCATATTCAAATTACTTCTTATCATACCATACTTCTGCTGTTTTCAATCTCTTTTTTGGCAACTTCTCAACTAGAATATACATTTGTTATCTTTATTTGTTTGCTGCACAGTTCAGAAATGACGAAGCTAGGAAATAAGCAAACATTGATGCGCAAACCACTGTCAAATTTACTGTTCATCAATTCCTATACCTTTTCTCCCTGATGTGTTTTGGTAATTTTTAATGTACAGTTTCCATTGATACTTATTTTTTGTACAGCACAGTTTGAAAGAGAATTGACGAAGGTCGGAGTAAAACAAGCAATGAAACCCAATTAAGCTACAGTCAAATGTACTGTGTAGTATTCTCCTATCTTACTCTCTCTCTTTTTGGCAAATACGCAAGAAAAACATGCAGATGTTTTTGATATTTGTTTGCTGCACAGTTCAGTTAAAATAAGAAATGACGACCTAGGAATAAAATAAACACCGAAGCACATGACACCGTCAAATGTAAAGTGTTTAAGAAGAGTTTCAAGTGCAGATCCAAGCCAGTATATTAATCGTATTCTGCAGTGGTTGCTGAATTTAATTTTGACACTGACATAACGCTTCAGTGCTGATGTTGAGAAAAAAAAAAGAGAATTTCTATCTCAACAAAGATTTTATTTCTATTATATAAATGCAAACTGATAAACTCAAAGGCAAAATATCTCAATTATGGACGACAAAAGTTGTATTTAAATTTATACAATTCATGCATCAAAGCAAATTTAGGCCCCAAAGGTGCGCAAGTTTTTACGGTGGACGTGATCGTCGCAGCCGTCATGCAGCAAGCATGGTCTGTCTTCGCAGCTAGTGTAGTCAGCCCGTTTTGATGTTTTTAATTGTTGTCAGGATTATATTTTTGCTAATTTTGCGAATCCTTGAAAATTCATAAAAACGAAAAATTCCCATACGTAAAGTTTCTTGAGGAAGTGCGAGGTTAACATCACATGCCTGATCGTTCTCAAATCACGAATACAATTATTAAAACGCGTTGGCCGTACTTTTCTGTTGATTGCGGGGTGCACAAACAAGAACCGGAGAGGCTGTGTCTAAAAATAGTCACATGTAAAATATATTGTCCGTAAAAAAAATACTAAATTCTGACAGTGTGCACTGTCCATTGCGCCATACTTTTAACCCCTTTATTTTATATCTAAGAATTTATAATCCGCATTAAGTATATCGAGTATCCCCCTCAACTTAAATGTATTTAACTCGATGATTTATCAGCTCGTCGATACAGCCCACTATTTCTTGCCATTGTCGATACTACTGGGAATGACATTCTCATTTATGCCTGCAGCCCTGCTTTTTTCCGTTTGCACCGGTAACGGATAAACCCGAGCATGAGCTGTCCTTTTGCAATCCTCTCGAAGATCTGTGCACAAGGGTTTTTTAAAAAGTATTTCGCCCGCTCATGTTATACTTACCAAAACTCTTATTCTTATACTTGAGAGTGTTTCAAATCAGGAAATTCGGGGGGAACTCATACGTTGGAAAAACTACGCTCTAGTGAAGTGAATGCGTCGCAAGTCAAGATCACTGCGTTAAAACGTGGGTTAAATAATTGGCCCTGGAAGTCCAATATATATGAAGCTGCAAAGTGTACAAAGCTTAAGTCAACAAAAAACGATGGTGAGATAGACTGTTTTGCTCAGATCTATTCACCTGAAAGTGGAAGAAACTATTAAGCGTTATAACAGTATGCAAAAGCAAGAGAAGATCAAGGTAAGTACCTTGATCATCTTTTGGGACAAGTTACTTTGTCAAATTATTCAAAACAGGATCAGGGATAACTGCAATTCAATAGTTTTATTGGCCTAGCCATCGTGGTACGGTATATGAGCCATAATACCATTCTCTACAAACATGGAAGGCGTACGCATAATTTTTCGGAAGTTTTAGTTTTCTATATTTTGGGGGCGTTTTTAATAAAACAATCATTCCAGTCGAGCTTGTTGGATATGAGTTGATATGAGATGGTCAACTCGGCGCTACGCCCCTCGTTAGCTATCTATTTTCTCGGAGCCGTTGATGGAAGTTCTTTGAACTTCTATGGTACTAATTAACTGTCGAATGTATGGCTTTATCTTAAACAAGCTATTTTCAGCAAATGTTTACATAGAAATGGTTAAAATTAATCGCTCATAGTCGCGAATCACGAACCTAGAACTCAAAAGCGTTCAGAATGAAACTATACCAACTTTACATGAAGCGGACATCTTGCCGGCTGTTAACTTAAGATATGATGGGGTCCTCGTCTGTATACTTACTTTAAACCTATAATGGGTTATTCAATCACTTAAAATTTGTGACTGCAGGCTAAATATAGAGCAGGTCCTTAATTAAGGATTACTGTAGTTTTAATATCGAGAACTCGTTTGTCTACTGTTTGACAATTCCAAACAATCATGTATTCACGCGAAACGTAAGTTCCAGAACAAGCAATGATTATCGTAACTGAAAAATAATTGGCACTTTTCGGCTCTTGTGCTTATTTCAAATCGAAAAACTCTGTTATTGAATCATTTAAATGCAAATAAGGGTTAAATAAAACAAAATTACAGGCTTTTGACAAATTGGGGGCGTTTTTAGTTGTGAGAATTTTCTTTTCTTTGTTAAACAACAATGTGGTACCTGCCGTAATGGACAGTTGTACAGCCGCGCTATAAACTCAGCTGTTACTTGTAGTCGTGGGAACGGGATTAAGATGTTGGGAAATTGGCGTTTCTAACTTTTACGCAGATGACAGTGTTGGATGCGGGTATAGCTTTCGCATTCTCCCGTGAGAAATATCGGTGAATCCAGTGCTATTGTTTGGACCATTTCGGGTAGCAGTTACTCAGTGTTTTTGTAAAACTGACAGAAACTGCAGGAACATAACGGACAGAAAAAATGGATACTAAATTGAATGCTTCACGTTTATCAGTTATCCAGCTGTCTTTCAGACTACAAAACATTTGATCAGGGTATTCGCAAAGCCCAGATTAATAGAAGGCAGGCCATTGAAAATCGCGTGTTAAAATCTCACCAAAACGATCTTCCTTAGTAGAACTCCATATATAACTTAAGTAACTTGCCTATGTTGGTCTTCCGTTCTCGGGTAATACGAATTTTCAAACCTAGAATTGGTCACAGACAAGGGGGATCTCGAGAATATTCACTTGTATTGTTTGAATTTCAGGTTGCGGCAGTTTAGTACATTTTTTTGTTTTCTTGTGTGTTTTTTTTCTACTCAACAAAACCTTTCAGTGTTAAGATCTAGCAATATTTAATAAAGGTAACAATTTCTCAGCACTAAAGATGTAAACTAAGTTTATTTCACGTATCATGACACAATAATTAATTGAAAATTGACGCTTTGTACCGATACACGAAGTTATTTATTTATTTATCTATTTTTTTTTTTTTTTTNGTTATTTATTTATTTATCTATTTTTTTTTTTTTTTGCGAATTGTTTTTAATTAGTATACTCTCAAATCGAAGGAAAGCTTATAAATGAAATAGTAGTGTGGTATGAGTGAGAGAAATACGGAGGAGAAATATGGGGAACTTTTCCTACGTAACTGCAATCAAGTTCTTCTTTCCAGTGATATCGTTACTCTGCATGGGCCCTAACATGTAATTCTATTTAACAATTAGATTATAAGCTCGAGATTTCTATCGCGTGATAGTTGACGAGGCAGCCCGAGTCAGCTATCACGCGTAGAAATCGAGAGCGGATAATCTAATTGTTTTAGTATAAATCTACTAGTCGTTTAAAACTTTATCTAAATTCTCTTCATAGAAACCTCGAAAACGCGAACAAGGGGCCGTCAGCCTGTTAACAAGCGCACACTTGTACCGCGCTATTCACTATCTACAGCAGCATAGATAGTGAGTAGTGTAGCCACTCAGAGGACAGCATTTATAGTTTATTTATTTATTTATTTATTTATTTATTTATTTATTTATCTATTTATTTAACTTTATTTATACACGGGTAAAACATCAGGACTTAAAGTAAATACTAAAATTGCATTGATTGCATTGTTAAGATACTAATCTACTACTAATTAAATCTAATAACAACAAAAATAAAAACAATAACGAAGTGCCTGCTTTCCATGAATGTTGTGTGATTAATTAACTTATTTATTATGAAAAAGGAAACCCCTGCAGCCGGATTTAAAACTAGCAAGAGTTTGTGCTTGCCGCAGATTGGTAGGTAAGCTGTTCCACAGCACCGCACTACTAGCTGAAACTGAATATTGGCGCGGGGGAGTGGAACAGCTAGTTTGCCCTCACAATTCCTCAGAGAAAAGGTAGATATTGGACTCCGATCAGTAAACATTGATTTCAGATAATCAGGGGCGAGACCAGAGATTTATAGACCATAGTGGCTGTTTTTAATTCTCGTTCAAGATTAAGTTTTTGCCAGCCAAGTCTAACAAAGAGATCATCCACATTGGCATCATACGAAGAAGAGGACAAAATGCGCGCAGCGCGATTCTGTAGTGTTTGTAGTTTAATTGAAAGAGATTTATTGCAGTTACCCCATACGACGCTACAGTAATCGAAATGAGGTTGAACTAAAGCATTATAGATGCATAGGAGCGTTTCAAAAGGAACAAAAAACCTGCTTCTCTTCAAGATGCCAATGCAGCAGGCAATTTTTTTGGAAATATGTTCGATATGTACGTTCCAAGTTAAGTTTTCATCTATATATACTACAAGAGATTTCGTAAATTCTACTTGTTTAATAGAATTACAGTCGATAGTAAAAGACGGGAGTCTATTAAAAGTATTTAACCTTTGCCTTGAACCAATCAACATAAACTCAGTCTTTGACTTATTAAGAGTGAGTTTATTTGTCGTTAACTATTCAGTAATTTTAGTTAGATCATCGTTCATATTTTCCTCTAGATGCGCAACATCGTTACTGGAAAAGGTCAAATGAGTATCATCCGCATACAATCTGGGATGTGAGTTAACAAGACAGTTCGGTAGATCATTTATATAGAGTATAAAGAGGAGAGATCCAAGGATTGAACCTTGAGGAATACCGCAAGTTAAAGGTTGGCTATTCGAGAGAGAGCCATTTACAAAACATTTCTGTGTACGATTATCCAAGTAGGATTTAAACCAGTTAGACGAGTTTCTTCCGACACCATAGGCTTTTAATTTAGATAGCAATATAGAGTGATCGACGGTGTCAAAAGCTCTCTTCAGATCTAGAAAAATTACTTGCGTTAACATTGCCTTTATCGATATTTAAAGCCCAATTATCAGTGGCTTCGAGTAAGGCAGTAACAGTGGAGTGAAGTGAACGAAACCCTGACTGATTACAGGAAATTAGATTATTTTCAGTTGAATATTCGTAAAATCGATTGTATACGATTCTCTCAAAGACCCTAGCCACAACAGGAATTACAGAAATAGGGCTGTAGTTATTTAAATGGGAACGTTCTCCCTGTTTAATTCGTGATATTCGTGATAGAACGCTAGTAGATTTATACTAAAACTCGATAGAAACGCAGAACTAGCACGAGCTGTTGACGTAATAATATAAAAGTGATTTTCCTTTCGATTCTCTTTCTCGCAGTAGTTTTAAAACACTGAAATTGTGAGCCGGGTTCATGTCCGTGTTCGATTGGCTCGAGTCACTGCGTTGTGTTCTTAGGTAAGAAACTTTACTCTCACAGTGCCTCTCCGTATCCATATGTATATATATGTACGGGAAGGGGGGGTTGGAGGGGGGGAGGTTAACCCTCCGTGCAGGACTAGGATTCTATTCGGGGGGAAAGAGCAGAAATACACCTACTCGCTTCATGCTACCGAACACTGGATAAGCTCAAGCGGTATGGACCACTTAGCCAGACACAGACTTAACCTACCTTATCCAACAAATATTTAATATAATACTAGATAAAAATGCTCTTTTTTACACTGTTTTTCGTATGTTTGTAACAGTTCAGTATGCATTTATAACTATTGACAAATCGTTGGAGCGTTCACCCCTTTGTCTGTAACTATGGACAGATGGGATGTGCGTGTTAAAACTCACTGTTCTGGGTTTATGCCTGCAAAGTAATTTCTTTACTTCTCTCTTTATATCTTCCTTTAGGAAGGCGTAAATGAATGGGTTAATGGCGGAGTTGGTCAACATCAGAAGACGAGAAATGAGAGTTAATTCAAAAGAAACGCTACACTCAAGAGAAAAATACTGACACAAATGACGATAAGCCGACAGCATCCAGCATAACACGAAAAATAACACGACCAGCCCAAAAACCCTTGTTGCTGATCGTTCTTGAGTTACTTGACGAGGACTAACTGCCAGTTGTGGTTGGGATAGGTGCTGGTGTTTAGTCAGGGCGCGGATCTGCCTGGAATGTTTTTGAGAAATGATGAAAATGTGTCCGTATATCAGTAACATCACGACACAAGGCAGCAGATTGAAGGTGATAATTTGCAAAGTTCCGTATATCTCGAATGCACTCTCTCTTTGCGCGGGGGAATTAGTAAATATCCACGCGAATGGGATGAGCGAGAAGAGAATGGGTACGATCCACGCCACAGAAATCCATAGAAAAACGCGCGAGTTTGTCATGTTTTGAAAGTAGGTCAGCGGCTTCACCACGGAGAGGTAGCGGTCAGCGGTCATTGCGCACATGTTGGCGATGGAAACGAACAGCACAAGGTCGAAACTCAGTATCAGGACTGAGAAGTTACAAGTCGTCCAAAGAGCACAAGATGTAGACACGGGAATCAAAAAAAGCCCGACAAATAGGTCCGCCCACGATAGTGAGAGAATAAACCAGTTGGCTGCTTTGTGGAGCCTGTGACAAGTGACTATGACGTAAATGACAGGACCATTTCCCGCCAAAATTGTTAAACCAATCAGACCTCTTAGCACCCAGTACCACACGCCTGCTCTTGATGCGAAACCAGAAGTCGCAGATCCTGATGTTGTTTCGTTAGATGAACTGTTTTCCATTTGGGATTTCTTCAGTGAAGATCGAAAATCTTTGCCTCTTGTGAAAGAAACGCCGTTTACTGTGGAAATTAAGAGACAAATATAGTGAGAGGATCGAAATTGAAAAGATAGAACTAGGTTTCATTAAATTGCCTCAGCAGTAACCACTTGCAGCCGAAAGGTAGTGGTAAGGAAATTGAGTGAGGAGTCGTTATATCGCTTGTCTGACTTCTTGAAAATTAGTTTCCTTAGCTGTCACTTTTTTTGTCATTATTGTTGAGTTACTGTCGGAAAGTGGTCAGAAATTGCTTATGGCTATGATAGATTAATTTCCTGAATACTGGACCGGCTTTTAAAAGTCAAAATTCGGCGGCACTTTCCGGAATTAGAAACATTGCACAGACATCTGGAGGATTTAATTTTAACCCAATTACGAACGAGGTTTATATTTTATATGGAAAGTGTCTTATAAGCAGTTCCTATAGTTTCTGCACGGCACGTGCAGATTTAATTAAGCACGTTCGAACTGAAGAAATCGAAAGAAATCGAACCGGCGTCATATTGTAAAACTGAATTACGAACGATCTCTGTTTTTTTTTTAAGGAGTGTGTCTTATGAGCAGTTCCGGTAATGTCTACATGGCACGTGCACACTATATCTAATTAAGCACGTTCGAAACGAAGAAATCTAAAGAAGTCGAACCGGCGTATATGGTAAAACTGAATTACGAATGATGTCTGTAATTTTTTAAGGAGTGTGTCTTATGAGCAGTTCCCATAATGTCTGCACGGCACGTGCACATTTAATTAAGTACGTTCGAACTGAAGAAATCGAAAGAAATCGAACCAGCGTCATCTTGTAAAACTGAAGATTCTGAAAGATTAGTTTAGAAATGTTACATTCTGCAAAGAATACTCCTTTCCTTAATAAAGAAGTCAAACTCAGATAATTTGTGAACATAGCACTAGGAAATGAAATTTTTCAAGAGTTCCCTGCAGCGAACGAGTGAGTAAACATGTCCTTAACCTGAGTCGCGCTTCCACACACAGAAAACCTGGTTTCAAGCCACCCACTGTAGATCAAAGCTCACGACAGTCTTATAGCATCAGTGATAGATATATATAGAATTCAGCTTACCTATAAAGTGGAGAAACGGTTTAGCCAAGAAGTCGTACATTTGTTCTGCTTAAGTTGCATTTGGCTGACACTTTAAACGCTGTGATAGTTGATCAATATAGCAAAGAGAGCTAGTAAAAGCTCTTTGTAAATGTCCTTATTTAAAAGCGTCGCCTGCTGTTGATGTTTTCTGATTCGTGCTGACAAAGAAATTACTTACCATTCGCAGCGAATAGAAATTCACTTCCTGAGATGTTTAACCAATTTAATCCAAGCCCATATCTCGTAAATGCAATTTTCGACGTAAACAGAGTCGAAAGAAAAAACTGTCTAATTGGCTTTTTGCAATTATCGCAAGAGTTGTAAAATTTATATGCTGGTCACGACTGTTCTATATTGGAAAAAATAATGAAAACGAACAAAAGCTAATGATCTTCTACTCGGTGATATAGATCAAAAAACGTCCTGTATGCATATACTTAAATTCGATTCAATTTATGTAAATGACTTGACAATCAATTAAGAAATCCCTCTTAACTTAACTGTCTGATTCTGAAGAGTCATCGGCATTTCAAAGCAGCATGAGGGCGTCACAGCTCGCAGGTGACAGCAAAAATAAATAGTCAATAAACTGCTGCCAATGATAGTTTCAGCGCAATTGTGCGCATTTAACCATAATTCACAAACGAAATATTATAAAGCAGGATTCACTTTACGAGCTTAGCGGTACTCGTCATAATCTGGGAATAATACCTTAGAGTTTCCACGCCAACTAATTGTCAAGCTCAACCCGAACAAGCAGTACTCGAAAAGCAAATCTGCCGGGCATTTAGCCATCCTTGTCTCGCGCATTTTCAGTCTCATGGCATCTTAAGTGCGAGATGTGAATACGAATTATTACATTCCGTGCGTAGTTTATAGAAGCGTCAATGATGATAAAAATGTCCTAAGTTTCGAGCCACCCACGTGCAGCTGAGGACTTTCGCGTGTTGGTTTCGATGCTACTATTTTTGTTTGGAAAGATCATAGACTAATCGAAAAAGCCCCAGTATCAATATTTCGGATAAAATTCACTTTCTGGTAGCTTATGTATGCTTTTACTTCACAAAATAATTTTTTTCAGGAGCCAATCACCCGAAGCCTCCATCCGCACTGTAAAGTAGGGTCAACCCTTTCCCGTATCATTCTATTTTTCAGTTAGAACTGTAATAACCGCAAGGGTCTCTTGGCTTCCCACAAAATATCTTTTTCCTACAGATAGAAAATGCAAAACAGGGCACAAAAGTGGCATTTCAGTCTTTGTTATAACAAAGAATGGCCTTAGCTCGGGTATAATTGGGTATTGAATAGGGGTCATGTGAAAACTCCCACGAGAGCTGTTACGAAAAATAGAAAGATACGGGAAAGGGTTGACTCACAGGGTTAGTATGGGAGATAGAGGCTCCGGATAATGGGCTCCTGTTTTTTTCCAATGGTGTTTTAAAAATTTACAAACTTTGTCTCCAACTTTTTGGGAAAATCAGCTTAAATGCCGGGTTTCAATTTGTTTCAATTCTAACCTTCAATATCCTCATTAAGAGATAAGAAGTTTTTCAAAATTATCGAAACTTTGAAAGAAAATCTTTATTTGGAAAAACGTGATTGATCAGTCAATAGTGGTGGAAATGTGTCTACATTCATGTGCCACTCAAATATTTTTGTTACAATACTAATCTTTCTAAAATAACCGCACAAAAACGAAAAAATGGCATATATTTTCGTTATTACGTGTGACTCAGCAAACAGATGTGACGTTAGCGCGTCGATTTCTCCCATATTAATTTCGCGATGCGTAAGTAGACCTCGTATCACCTTGATTATCTGCCCTGACGTCGATCAGTCAATTCACCGGTCGAGGCTGCGCATTTTGTAAGTATTATTTAATCAAGCTGTTTCCTGGTGGATTTTACTTGGAGATTTCCCAGTCGCCAATTAGCTTAGTGAAGAAGGGATAAATCGTCAATTAGAAAAAGCCATTTAAAGGATAAAAGCGAAATATAGTATGGGATAACAGGAAAAGCGACAAAAACAATGTCATGGATGTATTTGACGCCGAGAAAGGCCGATGTTGTTTTTTCTCCGGATTATAAATTCTTCCAAGAAGAACATACATTTCAAAAGGTATCAGTTGTCAGTATGTTTGTTGAGGAGAATATTCGCTTGAAAACGAAGGAGCTAGAGAAAATGGAACAGAAACATACGTAAAATCTTTCAACCCTCTGCATTAACCCTCTCTCCTCTAAACTCCATATGAAAGACTGACCGAAGCAGTGGAGAGAACTTGACAATTGTCGCATAGTTAGCTTACGTATCACCTCGTTAGTTAACGATTTTTTTCACATTAGTGATTTGACTCGAACGTGATCTAGTTTTAAAGAGAGATTTATGATAATGCGTCACTCTAGAGAGTGATTATACAGATAAGGGATAACTCCATTTTTTTACACTTTAATGAACAGCATAAAGGGCAGAAGTCAGCTTTCATTGATCTAAACTTTAATTCAGCTGTCACTCACTAACCTTTGTTACTCCATAATTCTGCTTGGGCTGTGAAACTCAGTGTTTTCATAAGCTTTCAACAGGTACGATTAAGAGAGGTTGCCGGGCTCTCATTGCTTAGCTGTGGTGGATTTAGCTTAATCGGTAAGTTCGCCTTCAACGAAACCGCTAGTTATAGAAGTTCCTGTATACCTAAGTTTCTTTTTGGTTTCTAAAATTCACCTACCATGATAATTTCTCGTTAAAATTGTTTAGGATATATGCCAACAGTACTTCAATGCTTGGCACCGTACTGATTAAAAGGTTCTTTATAACAAGTGTATTTCTGACGTAGCAAGTTATAGCATGCCACCAAAACAGATTCACTTTTTCGACGAGATAACTTAAATTGAAAAATTATTAACATCTAAAATAAATAAAGGATATATTTATGATGATTTTCCAAGAATATTTCAGCTCATCTTGTTTTTCTTTTTGGTTCGGAACATACACGGTAGTCTTCTTACCTACCGAATCAAAGCGAAACACATTGCGTTTTATTTTTTCAGCCGAGCAGTGTCAACTATAACAACTCGACTTCAAAAAAGTGAAGAAAGAAAAAAAAAACAAAAAAAAAAACAACAAATGGCCCGTCGATTGCTTTATTTGTACAAAATGGGTGATTAATTTGAAGAAGCTGTCACGATATACTTCAAGATTTTCTTTGTGTTGAGAAAACAACTTCCACTGAACGAAAAAGCCTCGAAATAATGTGGCTGACCAAAGCAGAAAAAACGTAAGAAACAACAGTAAACCAATAGAAAGTGAGGATTTTAGTAACTGAGAAAGATTTAGACAGTTTGTAAACGACGAATTAACTTGAAAGACTGAGGCTAATTTTTTTTAAAGAAGTTTGACGTATTTCACACGATCAAGATCTCGCCGGTCTTCTCAGAAGTCAGAACCTTTTGAGTCGAGACCATGATTTTTTGTCGACAAATCACTAAACCACTTATGAATATATTTGGGAGATGAGAAAATTTCTGATCATGTGAACACATTTTTGAAGAAGATAAACCGTCCTTTAGTACAATGAGGTCAATAAGGTGTTCAGTATTGTAACTGACAAAGTACTGGCGAATGCCACACAAAAAAACAACTATCATACTGATTTCTAGCGCGAGAAAATTCGATGCCAATCTGTTAATTTCGGGATTACTTTGTCTTAATAAGAAAAGCATATGACCTTTTACATGTAATCCTGCCACCCTTATTTAAATATTCTAGGTTTTTTTTGTTCTGACGAATTTCCCTGGTTAGAAACAACTTTTCTTTATAATCAGGAGAAAAGAAGGCAATTTTTTTTATGCCCGACAAAGACTGATTTATCAATATTCGTGATCATGAGAGAGCCGCAAGTAAATTTTTTCCCACTAATATAAAAACTCAGACATTTTTTAGTGCTTTCGAAAGGCTCCTTCTTCAAATTATTTAGCTATGAGTTGTGAAACTTTGCAGTCACGCCAGGATTTGGTCTGATCTCTTCATCTCTCGGGACAAATTTCTTGTTTTTCGTGGCTAATATATTAATATAAGGAATCGTTTGCCGGACTCCATTGCAATGTATTACCTAGCGGACTCCCGCCTAGCGTTGCAATCTCACAATTTACCCAATGCTTTTCCCCTTTAATTTAAATTTATTATAAATGAACGGTTTAAACTGCTGATTAAGCTCTTGCACAATCGCCTAGAAGAAAAAAACTGACAAGATAATCTATAGTTGTTGTCACAGTTGAATCCCGATTTTTCGAAACCTTGATTTTGCTTCTTTTGCAAAATGTTACAAAAACTCTACCCTCAGTTTTGTAAAATTCCCGATTTATCGAACCAATTAATTTCGTCCCATAGGTGGTTCGAACACCAGGATTGCACTGTATCGTTACAAAGGGCGAGGTGAATATCGCATAATACATCAAAAGCGCAATCGTACTGCCAGCATGTGTACGAAGTGAGCTATTCCGAGACATTTAACCTGCACTGACCAACATAAGACTTAATAATGTTTATCTTAACAGGATAGGAAGACATATGGCAGTTGTCCCACGACGGATTATGCAAATTTTCAGGCTGGGATGGGATCTTTACGTGTGTTAGTTTGGACTCAGACAAACAAACACTTTCCTTTGAAATGTTTTGCTGAGTTTTTTTATTAAGAAAAAAAAAACTACAAACGACACCTCGAAAGTGGTATGTTTTAAAGATAGCAGCTGAAAAAGGAAAACCCTTGTTGTTAGGATCATTCGTTTGATTTGATACTTCTCTCTCTCCCTTTCAGGTAATATGGGTCTCATTTTCTGAACTCTTTGAGAGACATAGATCTAGAATTTACAAAAACGATTAATTATGATACAGATAGTCGTAGCTCATTTTTGAATAGAAGCGAAACCTGATAAATATGATTATGGATTTAATGTTGTGTCTTGAAAATCATGAGGCTTGTGTAAATATACAGGATAATAACAGAACGCCTTTAGATAGAAAGCTACTGCGTCCAAGCAATAACGATGAAATGAAAGTTTTGTACTGAAGTAGAACATAGTCAAAAAATGTACTAACTCAGTTATGGGAAAAGGGGAACTGACTGGATTATTATTCCCCTTGATAATTTAGGCTGTAATGTTTGCCCTCGAGAAGCTTTAAAAATTGCCGAGAATTGTATTATATCTACAACAAGGGAAGGAAAACAAACAATATCGCTTGATCAATGCAAAAAAACTGGCGTGACAGGAAACCGACTGAGAAGACAACTTCATTGGGAAACTGTCTCTTACCTGAATCACCGGACGCTTGAGAGGGAACGCTGGTCAGTGAAATCTGTCCACTTTATCGGTACGTAACTAAACCGTGCAGTTTATTGCAGGTGCATCGTACGGTAAAGTGGTCACTTTGAGATTCAACCGACATGGCTTGACAGTCTTGACAGAACTTATGATAAGCAGTTGACATGAGTAGCCGGTTTTCTTTTGCTTGTAGCGAATCAGCCAGCAGCATCTATGACAGCTGTTTTTCTTTTGCCTGAACAAAAACAATCACATAATTGCAACGGATCATTTTCTTGTTTCCTATATCTTTTCTCGCCCTACCAAAAAAGTGCATTTTGCAGTTTACCTGAATGATGTTAGGTAAATTTTTGGCTCTGCGGATAAAGAAAATTATTGGGTTCAATGTGATTATGACTAGCGATAGTGATAATGCGTTATATGCGTTTCTGAAATAGTAGGTAATTAGTCTGTTTGCATCCAAGATGACAGTTATCTACGTTTTCGCTGTAGTGAAAGATTCAATTTCCAATTTCCGCTCCGGGTCTTCTCTGTTCCCGCGACACCATGCACAGTTTCTGTTATTGCAAATTTACCTGTATACACTTGGTTTGCCTGGCCAAGAGGCCGCGGGGTTTGAAAGTAGGTAGCACTTCTTAATGACGTTTACAAATTAAAAAAGAAAAAGAACGATCACCGTGAACTCTGCAGAACACCTGTAGACTAGAATAGATTCATCAAGCCTTTATCATCTCAGGTCCATTCACCTACGGTCAACATTACGAGGTTTTGAAAACTAAGGCCAATATTAATATGTCAGAAAAGACAATGAGTTAGAATCTTGGAGCCCTCAAAGTTTTTATTGTTTCCACACGCAAACTTGTCTTGCCTGTGTACGAGGTCTTTAACATAGTTCCCTAGCCGGTAACTGAAGATAAAACTACATAACAGGGTTTTCACTAGAAATGATTATAGCTATGTTTCAGTTTTGCTCGTTGCAATCTCTTTCCTTCAGCCCCTGTTATAAGAAAACCTGAAACAGGTCAATACAACTGAATCATACAGGCACAACTAAACGCAAGCCATATCTTGCTCGAGTTGCCACTCCGAGTGGCAACATTCATAGTATGAAAAACCGTCATTTCACGTCCCAGGCTAGAATAAAGTTACTCAGTAATTTGAACCCATTATGTATCATCGAATCTACATCGCATTTATGGTTCTAGGAGAACCGATTACTCTGAAGGTAATAATTTGGTTTGTATAATATCTCCTTCACAGAAATATATGAAGTCCAGTTATTTCCTACCCTGCGAGTAGGCTCAAGTTTAGCACACGCGAGAGCGGCGATCCAAGCGAGCGACGAAGCATCTTCACCAGATCCCTCTCCGCTCTTCACCACTTGCGCGAGTGACTCATAGGTGAGCCTGCTCGCAGGCTTGCTATTTCTGAACGCCTTACATAGAAACAAAACCTTTTATGCAGGGGGATAGGAGGAGTTTAGAATCTAAATTATATGGCATCAAGTGGATTCTTCGTAATACGTGTCTTAACAGTGTTTGCCATATGTTGTAAACTGTTCCACGCTAGTTCTTGCTTAATTCAGAACTTTACGAGTTAACTTTCAAATTCCTGCATTACCTCCCGAACTGATTAAACCAAAATCCTCAGTGCAGGGCAGTGTAATGATCAAACATCAGAGTATATAGGCTGTGAAACATCACTTTTCTAAATTTTCAGTCTTGACGTTACTGAATATCTGTAAAGGATAAATCGATGGCCCTTCTTTATGTGGCACAACAAGGAAGCTTATTATTTTTCTGTTTAACAGACTGATTCTCTGCAGCTAGTTTTCCAATATTAACAGTTCCGTTAGTTCCATTCTGGATGTGTGCCAAGTGATCCGCTGGAAGAGGCAACACTGTTCTCGATTTTTTCTCGTTTTCTCTTTTCTTTATCCCCTCATATATGTGCTTCACAAGATCCTCAAACGCCTCGGTGACGTTCGTGGAATCTAGCGCTGACGTCTCCATAAAAAGCATATCCTGGTCAGTGGCGTATTGGCGACCTCGTTTAGTTTCTACGATCCGAAGATGTTTGAGGTCCGATTTGTTGCCGACTATGATTACGGACAAGTTTGAATCGGTATGTTGTTTCAGTTCCTCTATCCATTTGTCGAGGTTTTGGAACGACGTTACCTTGGCAATGTCGTAAACTAAGATGGCGCCCATGGCTCCTCGGTAGTAGGCGCTTGTGATGGCTCGGTAGCGCTCTTGGCCTGGGAAGAGAAAAAGTACGTTGAGGTATTGCACCAAGCAATAGCGTGTTTTTACATTTAAAAGACATTACGTGTTATATATGGTGTCAAAACGACGGTCTGTAGTGTAAGATAGGGAATGATATAAGCCTATTCCATCTGAAAAGAGCATGGGCCGAGAGCGTCAAACACAATATCTTAGTGTTCACTTCTCAAGAATCATAGGAAGTTGCACTTCACAAAAAACTCAATAACTTGTGAGCCCACGATAGTCGTCTTGGTAAATTGTCGTCCATTGCAACTGGCAATGAATTCTAAACGAAATTCGACGCAGACACATGCACAAGCAAAATCATCCGAACATTCCGAAAAGGTTAGGTGGGAGGTAACCTAGATCCAGTGTTTTCACTGGCCAAACGTATCCACGTGTGGTAAACATCCTTGTGCTTGTGTTATGCCTGAGCGGTATTTCGTTTTCACTTGCTGCAGCGTAAACGTAAGCATAAGCGCAAGCACAAGGAAAAGGAAAAATTTGATCCTTGTGCTTGTCCTTGCCCTTGTGCTTATGCCTGCGAAGAATGAGAATATCGAGAATTAAGAATATCAAGGCTGAAATTTGCGAAATTTTAAGAATATTTTGAAAAGAATGTAATTTTGTGCGTTGAAAATTTGTAAATACAATACAATTAAACCGTATAACATTCTTTCTTTCTGTACACGGCAGAACAAGCCAAAACAAAAAAAAAACAAAACAGCAACAACAACAAAAAACATTAACAGAACCAGCCGTATATTCGATCCTAATAACATTTCTGCGAGAAGTCATGTGTGTCATATAAGGATTTATTGTTTGCAGTTCTGGCTCCAAAATTGCTTCAACGCCATGAAAGTCCATGAAACGGAAATGCTATACATCATATTATATTTGCAAGATTATTTTCAGCTTAAAATCGGCAGAAAAACACAGTAAGAATGTTCCGCCTGGGCCGGGAAACAATATTCTTATTAAAAAGAGTATAAATAGTTTACTGTTACCGGAAGGGTACCAAGACTTGCACAAATATCAGGTGATCAATGATTCTCGAGTTTTTTTATTTCATAGGTACTGAGATTTACTTACTTCTTCACTTTACTACTTTTCACAGTAGTGCTAAAATTGCTGTCTAACTTAAAACTATCGAGTGTAGCCGGGAATAACGGAGTTAACACGTTGTGACTTACCTAAACTGATATTATTATTATTATCATTATTATTATTATTGTTATTATTATTATTATTATTATTATTATTGTTATTATTATTATTATCAAAAGCAGTGATATTGAAGCCGGCATATATACAGAAAACTGCTCTTAAAAAGTTATTGAATTCTTTACACTATAAACTATATACTTGCTGATCGGTTCAACGGTCGTTAAATATGCATTGATCAATATGTCATTATTGGAGACGTGTGAGTCCAGGAGTGTTCCAATCTGCAGTCGCACTTCGTTGAGCCTGCATGGCCTCCAAGGACATTTAATACTTATATATAATTGCAGTTTACTTATTTAAGAACAGTCAGGAGTTTAATAATGTGTATCGGTACAGAAATAATTAAGACGACACAGTGAGCCTTACATGATCTCGAACTATATTGATATTATTAATTAGCATTCAGAAGTAGAAGTTAAACGAATTATTTAGCTTTAGAGTTGAACTAAAACCGTTATAAAATGAAATTTATTCAATGATTACTATACCTTACTTCTTCAGTTTTTTTCCTACTCCATTAACTTGGGATACTATACCTTCCATTACACATATACATAAAACGATACGCTGCCAAAATTTTCAAAAATTTTAAAAATGTTTTTCAATATCAGAAGTATAACTTGCCTGCGGTGTCCCAAATCTGAGCGCGGATATTTTTGTCTTCCACTTCAATCGTCTTTTGAGCCAGTTCTACGCCGATAGTTGCCTTGGAGCCGAGATGGAATTCGTTCTTGGTGTAGCGTGACAACAAGTTGGACTTCCCAACTCCAGAATCACCAATTAAAACGATTTTGAATAGATAATCGTACGCGTCTTCCACGCTCGCTTGTCGTTCAAACATAATACTTGTCTGATAGTTATTACTAGGATTGGACTTTCAGGCGTCGGTTGTTACCATACAAATGCAACCAGCATGGACCGATTAAGTAATTCTTTCTCTATCGATCGCTTGCTCTTTCTTCAACATTTGCAAAATCGGTCAGAGCTCTGTCAAAGGAAATCGTAAAATATGTTAGTCAGCCATACCGTGTTCTTTGTCAGTGTTGCATCTGCGTGAAAGACAACATAAGCAACAACAAGGGGGTTGAAGTCGGTTGTATCGCAAAGATTTTCTTCCGATCGCAAGCACATCGAAACAACTTTGCTGTTGATTGTTGCAATAATGGAAAATTAAAGTTATCGATCGTTTCCTTGTTGTCAAATATAGGAATTGCCCACATACAATACTATGTTTACTATATGTCTTTTCGCGAGCTTAGCTTACGTGAGTTTTGCTTACATATTTTCTTTGCACTCTGCATTCTACTAAAACACTTCGCTTTCAGATTACAGAGCTGGTGATGATTACCTCGGATAGATAAAGCCCAAGACTAGTTAAAATTGCCTTAGAATTATATAATTTAATATTTAATAATCTCAGTAGTACCTAAATTTAACTTACCTCGAGACGTAAGCGTATTCTATTGTACTGATGTTGTAGGTAAAAAATCCCAAAATTCTGTTATTACGCAGGTGCGATTTCCTCTAAAAACGGTAGAGCCTTGTTTTAGATATTAACTGTAACCTAAAGCAAACTTATAATTTAGGCTTGATGAGTCTGTGGTGTCGTTGGGTTATGAAAGCGCCTGAGGTAAGTTGTGTACGTTTTGCCTTCCTTCAGTATGCTAATCAAGCCTTGTTTTTGTTCATCTTTAAACATGAGGGCAGGAACTTAGCCATTTGTTAACAGGTGACCTCGTAAACAAAAGGTTTGAAAAATGGACGAAGAAGTGATCTTTTTGTGCGATGAAATTAACAATAACTGTGAATCGAAATGAGTTAATAATACGAAGAAAAACCCCATGCGATACTGCTGATGTAAACTGACAAGCCGTTGAGCTCATCGGCCAATGTATTACCAATCAATTTAGAAACAGTGTAACCGGAAAATAATGAAAAAAAAAAAAAAAAAANTAATAATAATAATAATAAAAGAAATAAAAAATTGCAAACAACCAAGCATGTCAGAAGAATAATAAAGAAATAAGCAGACAGAAAAGCCAAGAGCAGAAAAAATTCACATGTTGACCTCGATAAAAACATTTTTTTTTTGCCTGGCTAAAAGTTGCTAAACACTTTGTAAATCAAGCCAGGGCTGATCAAGCCTTTTTGGCAAGTGTCACGTATCGCCACGAACTATATTTATGGATTAATTCGTCAGTTTTTCTGGTTATTACCTTAACCGTGGAAAACACGGCAAAGTTAAATGTGTTTCTGTTCTTTTCTCACTTTGCTTTGTTTTTATTTTTCAGTTACCTTGGGGTACTGGGAATTAACCGCGAGCTGACCGCGAAATATTGACCAATGAGCTCTTTCAATGGTGACGTAAGGTTCCCAATAATGGCTTACTTTTTGGACGGGTACAACGTTCGTAATTAGCCAAAAATAAACCTCACAAAGATGCTGAGTATGAGATATTTTGGAAAGGTATAAATGCCTGGAGATAACTATTGATTACACCACTAGTCACCAGCTAGAGGGGGAGAATAGCCACGCTAACATGGTTTGGAAGGAAAACGGCAAGTTCGGGGTTCACACTGGTCGAACTCTTCGAAAGTCCGCCGAGCAGTCTTCTAACAAGAGGGATCGCGGATTTCTGATCAAAACCGTTACTAACCCGGACATTAACTTCACCGATGAAGACATAAGGCGATGCCTGAAGAAGTGTCAAATACAAGACGGTCTTAACGTCGAAAACGTGGTGAAAGAAAGCCGCGAAAGTCGGCATCGTCGCCTCTGGCATGTCGGCGGCCGTGCAGTCCATGATAACTCGCTGTTGTATTCTCTCGGAAAGCGAAAACGATGGCTCGTATCTTCGGTCTTGAGGGAGCAAATTCCTGCAGATTACGACAGTGAAAATGACTATAGCGTGGTACTTGTAGAAAGGGAATCACTAAATAATTCTTCTTGGTACTGCCGTTCTCCGAGACTGAAACGGGGAGATTGCAATGAGGTAGTGGACGGTGAAAACGTAAGGAAACCCAAACGGAGAAAGTTCGCTCACGTCGGGGACTTGTGGAACAGTTCAGACAAAACCGAGATCTTTTACGAGGTGAATCATACAGAAACTACCACTTCCTGGCCGAGCTTCTTGCAGTATGACTGGAGGGAGTCCAGAGATCAGAACAAGGCTCGATGTAAACAGAAGGGGACAAAGAACAAAAGGCGTATGTGGGGGGAATTCAGCAGGAACGAGTTGGGCAAGACATCTTGTGAATCTCGTCAAGAAAGAACTTTTGATCAAGACATGAAAACTACTATTGAAGAGGAGGAAGAGATGGTTCTGAGTGTAGACAACTTTGGGCACTGTTCAGGCTCAATGTTAGATGAACATTACTTTGTACAAAGATCTATTAATAAGTACTTTGATATCGGAAATTACATCTGGGAAGCTCTAACAGCAACTCCAGCACGTAGTGGCGTAAAGAACAAAAAGAAACATGGCGAGAGAACACCCTCTACTGTAGACCCGGCCTCTTCACAGATGGTCCAGCAGCATGGAAAAGGATCTGCTGTTCACATTGACTCTGTAGACAGTCTGCATAATGGTTACCAAGACAGCACAGTGTTGGAAACTCCAAGTTCTGGTGTAAATACTCCTCTGACTGCTGATGGTGTAACTTACTGTAAAGCAGTTTCTGTAAATGTAGACATCAAGAGTGAAAAACTTGACCCCTGGGCACTGCAGGCACAATTTGGAGAGATGTACAAGGAGAGTGATAGTGTGCCACGGCGATTCAGCATTAACTGCCCTACCGATCAGTCTACCAAGTTCGTCATCACATGCTGGCCCAATGATGCTCTCAAGACTGTGGATAACAGAACTGAGAGGTTAGCTGTGACAGTTATCAGTGATTCGATGCCCTCTAAAAAATCTTATGACTGCAAGGAATTCTTGAGAGATTTCTTCAGTGTTTCAGAGCAAGGGAGTCAAATTGAAGATGAACCACCATGCAGCACTTTGCTTGATCAAAGACAGTTCATCTCTGATGATAACTGTCCCAGCAGAGTAGCGGTGATGCCTTTTGATCTGCTTTGTGATATAAACAGATGGTCGTACAAAGCGTCCGTACCAAGTCTTGCTCTGCCAGATGGTCTGAAAAGTAATGCACCATGTAGAAAAGCCATGGCTAATGGAGAATCAAATGTTCCCAGTCTACCTGAAACTGTTGTGTGTGAAATCTGCTGCTGTGAATTTTATTTGGACAGTGGCAATGGTAAGAATAAAATTTCCATCATCATTTGTTATTATTTAATTATTGCCAAGCTGAGGGTTTAGCCATGTACGTTTAAGAACTCCATCTAAATTTGTACAATGATATAAACAATGTATGGGTCAACAAATGTATGTGGTATGGCTTGGTCACTGCAACATTTTGTGGTCTGATACAATTTGACACATTGAAAATCTTCACAAGAAAATATACCTGAATACTCTCAGATGTTAATTTTGCATAACGACAGTCAAGCATTGGTACAGTGAAAAATTGTTAGCTAAAAATGAATGATATTGTGATGATTGATGATGATTCAATCAAAATTGACCTCAAATGTGCATAATCTCTGCCTACCTGTAGGTGTCATACATAAAATTAATAACTCCAAGTCCGAGTCTAATGTATGATAATTTTTCTTTTAGAAACCAGACCCATGGAGTTTTCCTGCACTGCTATGAAGTCCTGTTCACACTGGTTCTGCAATGAATGTTGGAAGGCTTACTTGTTTACTGAGTTACAACAGGGCAAGACCATCATCAAGTGTCCAGCTCATGACTGTGATGTACCAGTTGATGATGTCACCTTAATGGGACTTCTACCAGACAGGTTCCTGAAGTTTCTAACTATGCGACAAGAGAAAACAGTAGAGTTGAATTCTGAATGGCAGTGGTGCCCTGGGGACAAGTGTAACCTGGTTGTCAAGGCAACTGCCCACAAAAGCACAAAAGAAACAAAGGAAGAAGTTGATCCAGTGCCCATATGTTGCCAGTGTGGACACAAATGGTGTTTTGCCTGCCAGGAGGAACCTCATTGGCCAGCATCATGTGCAGAGGCTGCGTTCTTTCGTTCTCAGACAGAGGCTTATGAAAAGCTTATTAGAGCCAAAACTGGTGGAATAACTTCGGTTAATGTTAAGCGATGCCCTCATTGCCGTTACCCCATTGAAAAGCACCAAGGGTGTCCTCATATGTCTTGTGTCATGTGCAAGGGAGAGTTTTGCTGGACCTGCCTTGGAAACTGGGCCAATCATCACTGGGATAAGTGTGACAAAGACTTGAAACAAGAGGAGGAGGTGGAACTGGTTAATCATATTGGATCAACTCGGTTCAACAGGCATTTGCGAGTTGCTATTGCGAACCGCGTTGCAAGAGCTGGTCCCATCCTGTATGAGAAGTACAGTGCTGTCAAGAAGCTTGAAGGAGTGCTGCAAGTTCACAATGGACTTTTTGGAGGCAGCTTTTGTGAGGAAAAAGGCTCCATGTGGTCAGCTTCCTTCTTGCTGCTGAGCTTGTACAATTCTCATAAAGTGCCTAAGTACCTTAAAGCTTCCATAGATTTCAAGTTTCAAGCTCATTTTGTCATCGAAGGTGTGTCCATCTTGATGGCAGTTTCTAAAACAAAGAGTTGTCATGGTAAGCTTCAGAGGCTTGTATCAACCCTGTTGTTTGTTGTGGACAGGCTGGAGGACATGGCTAATAAGAGAAAGCTTTACTCGGAAACTGACAAGGTGCATTTCAAGAGGCTTATGAGGGCTGGAAAGCAGTGCATTGATTGTATTAGAAAACTTTGCATCAAAGCTCATCAAAACTAAACGACAATTGTTTTTCAAATAAATCAAGGGAAAATTGTACAATGCATACAGTATGTGCATGAGGAACAAAGAGAATGTGTTTTCTAGATACATTTATATTTATTCAAGGTGGTGTCAAAAATAAACCAAAATGTGTAATATTGAATTCAGTTACAAATTATTAAATATTGTTACAAATTATTGAAACCTGTTGTTTTTATTTTTGTAAAGCTATTCTAATCTAAATATTAGTTTGTCGGCAACATCCAGAGGACATCACGCGAACTCTGAAACACTGAAATGATAATAAAAACTAAAACTAAATTAATTTTTCAGTTTATTTCATGAACGACTTTTTATGTTAGTAAATCCTGGTTTTCAAAGAGCAGCAAACGGTTTGCTGATAATGTCAGGCCTTTTTCAATCAAAATAAGTGTATTTGTACTTTCTCGTAGATCACTCCTAGCCAATACCATGCCAAATTCTCTTCCCCTTTCCCTGAAAATATTATGACTTCCTTCAAAGAAGTTTCAGCTCCTTCTTCAGACAAAAACTGCTAATAAGATGCATCTCACTTTCACGAAATGTAAAGGAAAATTAACGGTTTGATGAAAAGCTGTAACGCTCAATCAGTGAATGTCTTGCGATTCCGAAACTTCTCTGCGTATGCATGTCTGCCTTGCGTGCCTACAATTCATGGGACCTGAGGGGAGACTGAAAACTAATGACCTGAAGGGAGACTGAGAACTAACAATCTAAAAGCAAGATGGCGACTAAGACGACCCACAGCAGAAGCGGTGTTAAACTTGGAACACCAAGGTATGTGAGACCGAAAACATCATCCAATAACAGCACGATAGTCATAATTACAGTGATCTTTCATGTGATTATGAACGATAGTCTTCCTGTTGAATCTACGACTTCCCATGAACTTGTTTTGGTAACGCAGCGACCTCACTAAAACACACGTGTTTTTTAACTGGATACAAATTTAAGTTTAAATGTAATTAAGTCTTATAACCCGTTCGGTCACCCCAAAACGCAGACCATGCAGACTGCAGACTGCAGACCGCAGACCGTGCAGACTGAGTACTTTTTTTTCTGCATATTCTTGTTCTTGCATTTACTTTTGACTCGCATATTTTTTGGTTCTGTTCAATCATATACCGGAGTGTTTGTTATCCACAGGCCGCGCAAACTCGGTGATATGTGACTGTTGTTGTGTTATAGATTTTGCAAGGGAAACTCGCTTTAGTTCTAAATATGCTTAAGTTAAGTTATTTAACACTGTAAAATGTAGAAATAAGCTTCACTTGTATTATAATGTCACACGTAACATGTGCATTTTCTACTCTTGGTGTGCAAAATGTAATTCCAAATGGCTGTTGGAGTGTGACTGTGATCACTCCAAAAAAGACTAGCTCATGAAAAGATCACAGAAAACCAAATAGCATTTGAAATTCTCAGCGCAGTATGGTTGCCGTGATGAGTTGATGTGATGGTTAATTTATCTGTCCTTATGGCATGTAATGAACAGTTCTACTTTCATGGCGTGATCTATGAACATGAACACGAACAGCCTGTGATTTATGAAGAATGCCTGACTTTCAACAATGTGTGATTATTTTTCTCTGTTTCTCTGTAGCTTTAAATAGTTTAGCGATTAATTGGGGTTTCCTGTATATGACAGCTCATGAACAGTTCATTTTCCTTTATTTGATAGCTCATGAATAGTTCGTTTTAGGACTAGAAGTTTAGAGTTCGATTTCAGTTGCGATCAGTGTCAGTATTGCGAACATTCAATTGTATTCAAGCTTCATCGTATGTATAAGTTCTTCCAAGCCACAGAGATCAACTCTTCAGAATCTACTAATCAACTACAATAAAGATTAAAGAAATCTCTGGTCAGTGCTGGAAATAATTTTTCTTCTTTAACAGGACATGTGTCCTTTCAAATCTTCATTTTGGTCGGACATCTTATCAATTTGACTGCACATTAATTTGCANATGACTGCACCAATCTCTCCTGGTTATCTCCTGATTATATGTTCTTCAAGCAAACCTAGTTTTCTACGCAGGAGCCCATCACTAGGAGTATGCAACTTCCTTAATTATTCCTGTCCCGGTGTTTTCACGGACCAATCTATTTTTAGTTTGAATTTACTGCGAATTCAGCCCCCGCAGGAACCTCAGTGACCAATCACAAGGACAGACTTTATAATTTCACCGGAAGATTAGGTTGCCATGTCTACCTGAGGCCTCCATTTTCCCCCTTACTGATGCGTGCTCACATAGACCGGAACTGAGGGAAAAGAAAAGAGGCCTAAAAATAGACCGGTCTGTAAAAATCCTGTGACATAGGCTTAGTATGGGAGTTGCAGGCTCCTAATGTTTGGCTCCTGACCAAAGTTGACTCTAGGGTACATACATGAAGGGCTAACAGCATATCGCAATGCACATAATGGATAATAGGGCGATTTCTGAAAAGTACTTTATTTGGTAAGTACAGGAAAGATGAACACTTCTGCTTTATGATATGGCAGAAGCCCATAATGGGCTCCTGGATATGGCTTAAACTGTCAGTGCAGAGTCAAGGGCCCAAAATTTAAAATAATGCTTGAGAAGCCATTTGGCGAGTAAGTGAAGATAAAATTTTAGCCGCATTGGCAACCGTACCAGTCGCAACTTCAAGCCTTTTTAACAATTTATATAAACAAATTTTATGGATGGACAATAGGTGTGGGTGAAATGTTTGGACATCATGTCTGATCAAAATGTGAAATTGGCCGGACATATTCAAAATTTGGTTGGACAATAGAGTCCTAAAGTGTGACGTCATGTTACCATGGTGCTGAAATATTGGGTTCTAAACAACTCGGATTATCTCTTGCGTGTAGGTCACGTAGTCTTTGTCATCGCGTTGTCCGGAGGTCAAAACCCTTCATAACCCTGTGTTTTGCAATAAAAGACGCCACGAAGAAGGACAGAGGGTGAAAAGGTCAATTGCTATTGCGAAATTACCGCTTTGTCATAGGAAATAGATCTAAAGGGAAGGAAATGGTCTACTGCTTTGCCCCGTCGTGCAACCATTC